CTTTTATATTTATAAATTCCTTTTTCCCAATAAATTCATCCTGTTCCTTGAGAATATACAAAACAGTGATATTCAAAATGTAGACAACACAAAAGGAAAACACAAACTAGGAAATCAGAAGTCTGAGGTCCAGATCCTGCTCTGTCCCCAAACAAGACCACAAAATCACTGTCCTTGGCTCTATGTCTCCATCAGAAAATACAAACACTTGTCTCTTTCCTTTCCAAGACCACTACAAGACTCAAATGATTGGTTAGTGATATGAAGTTTTCTGAAACCATAAAAAGCTAAAATATTTGATGGCAGTTTATAGTTAACATATATTTTAGCAACAAAAAGTTCTAGTATAGATGAATCCCAGATTCACTATCTGAATAGACTGAAGCATATGAAAGAATAAAAATAAAGATATTTTTTAAGTTAACGGAAATTTTAAATAAATCCTAAGTGATGGAAAGAAAATTCTCCTCTCTAATTTAGCTTACATTCAGTGTATACAATGCCATTAATTATTTTTTTCCTGAAGTGAATTTTCTATTTTCAGAATTTTTTATTAAAAAATTAAAAATACAATTGTCCACATTCTGTCATCAAAATCTAGAATCTGTGAATGGTATAAAAAAAATCTACACCAACAGGGGAGTGAGTAACTCACTATGAGCAAAGCACTCTGGGACTATTTGGCACATGGTCTGTGATACTAAAAAAGTTCAAAACCTGGAGTAGCTAAGGAGAGCACCCAGATCGAAATTGAAACTACTTTGATCTTAAGATAGATGGCTTGAGGTGCAGGTTTTCAGGTTTGTGTTATGAGGAAAATAACATACTATACTGTGTAGGGTTTTCATGAGAATAAAAAAAATGTGGCAATTGAAAGGATGGTCGATATATTTTAAGTGTCGATAAGTGACACTGACTATGTTTTGCTTAGAATATGCTGAAGATTAAGGTACAGCATACCAAATTGTTTCATTACCATATAGAACTATATCAAATATAGTCCTGGAATTATAATTCCACCAATATTAGCAGTAACGAAAAACATAAATGATTTTAAAGTATAGGATCAAGGTCTCAACTGCAATCCTAAATTTAATTGTTTGACATCACCGTGAAAATATTTTAGTATCCAGAAATAATTTTACCCTTCAGAAGCTCACAATTTATACCTTTATATTCAATGTTCCTTAACTTCAGCTGTTCCACAAAGTTTCCACTGTCTAACCATTTGACCATTCAGGGTTATTCTACTAGAACCAGTCCATGCATTTGCAAGCGGTTCAGAAAGTTTGTCATTATCAAACCCATTTGACTTAGATCTGAGTAAAAAAAAAATAAAAAGCTCCTCTCAATGCTTTAAAAAATGTTTTTGTTCATTTTGTATTGGATAACATTGGGTTGTCTTTGCCCCTCCCGAAGGGAGCTAAGGTTTACTGAGTTACTCACACAACAGTGCCCCTGAGGCACATCCAATTCCATCAGGCATTAATAATCCTATATTGCTTTTTCTTTCCTTTATGTGCTTCACATGGTTTATTTGTATAAACACCTTTTTTTGTATAAACACAGAAAGACAGTTGATGCTATGCTTTTGTAACATGGGAGTTAAATGACTCCAAATAGTATTTATTCCTGGGCATCCATCATATTTACTTGACTTAAGCCTCAGTTACCCTTTCTAACACCCCCAAAAGGAGGGTCCCAGTGAGGGACAAAAATGGACCCAGGGCAAGCTGCAAGCTACTCTGGCATTGGAAAGGGACAAGCTAAGCGCTGTAAGAAATACAATAAATTAAGAGCATGGTCATGGAAAAACTCTGTCATGACCCAAAAAAAGAAATAACCATCTGAGATATATAGCGAGATGTCCCCATGAAGAGCCAACCTTTAAGCTTAAAATATCTCTTACTGTGTTCATACAAAATAACTAGAAATATTAGTAAGAAATAAATTTACCATGATTGTTTAAATGGATTACTAGCTGAGGAGAGGAGAAAGCAATACGCCTTAGATGGGATCCCACCCTGGAGCAGATCTCCTAGTAATCTAGAGTGCTGAACCCTCAGATGAGATTTGTCCTTGAGTTAGTCTCCTAGAACTCCCCTCCCACCCCCAACCCCCTAAGGAGTGGCTTTACATCTGTTTGCTATTATGACAATGCTTAACCCCACCTATGTGTACCCCACCCTTCATAATTTCTATATAACTATGCTGTAAGGGGAGAGATGGGACTACGGCGGGGAAAGGAGTAGAAATTATTATGTTGCAAGGGAAGAGGTTGAACTGCACTGGGGAGGAAGGAGGAGAAATTACTATGTTGTAAGGGAAGAGACTGAACTATGTTGGGGAGGAGAGAGAAATAAACAGTCTACCACCACTCTCACTTCCCTTCATTCATCTGTCACTATTGACTGCCCTGGGGAGGCCACTCTCAGCCACCAAACACTTGTGTCCCTTGCACCCATGCTTTTCTGAAACTCAATTCACATTTCCCTGGGTGGGCACAAACCACCAACCTTTTGGTTAACAGCCAAGCCTGTTTCTCTGATTCCCCATTCCTTCATCCATCTGTCGCCATTAACCAGCCTGGGGCCCTGTTTCTCTGTTCCCCCAGTCCTTCATCCATCCGGTTGCAGTGGGGCAGCTAAGGGAATGATTCTCAGCCACCAAAAGCTCTCGTCCCACGCTGCCAAGCTTTTTTGAAACTCACAATTTTGTATTTCCTCAAACTTCAGCTTTCGTTTCCCCAAAAGAGAAGTTAAAAAGAATTTCATGTACTTTAAAATGTGTATGTAGTGTCTGTGTGGGGGGTGGGGGTGGGGGTGGGGGTGGCACCACAGGGGTGTCAAATAAAGGAAAAAGAAATATTTCTGGTATTTTCGGAGCCAACACCTTAGAGGACTGTGCACCTCACTGGGATTATAGTTGTTGGTTTTCTTCAAGGTTTTACTTCAGAGTCAGACAAGAGTATCGCCACCCCTTTATTAGGAGGCATGGTTTTCAGTTCCTTGCACTTATAATATTTTATCCTCTATGACTTTTTTTGGAACTCAAAATAGTTTGAATCAAAGTTTGCAAGAGGAAATAAAGAAATATTGGAATCCAGGCTCTTACACAAATTTCTATTTTGTAATCCTGCAAGATGGAAGGGAGTCAGGTACAGAGAAGACTGAAGACCTCCAGATGACAGCCCAGGCACTCTGGGCGAGCATTCAAAGCCTCTGTCCCACTGAGCAGTGGCTTTGCCAAGCTGCTTCTGTTTCAGCATATAATCTCCTCTGTTTGTTTCACATTTGTCATGTTTATTCCCAACGCCAGGCAAGCCAATGATTTGCTTGCCTTTAATTTCATGACCAAAATACTGTATCTTCAAAATTGATTCATGTCTTACCCAAACAGTCTTCTGAGGAAACACTAGCACCTTAATTTAAGACTAAGGGTAAACTTCTTGGTGTAATTTAGTTTTTCCATTTGTGAGCTGATTTTCAAAACACAATTACATCAGCAGGATCAATTACCTTGATCTCATGATTTCTTATGTGCCGAAAATCGTAAGTTTATACCCACTCCAATATAAATGACCATCCATTTTATTTTAATTTGGGATGGCGACATCTGGCTATGCTCAAGTCTTATTCCTGACTCTGAGTTCGGGGATCATTGCTGATGGTGCTCAGTGGACCATCTGTGGTTCTAAGAATCAAACTCAGGTCAACTATGTGCAAGGCAAGTGCCCTACCTGCTGTACTATCTCTCCAACCCCTATGGCCACCATCAGTTTTGTAAAGGTGATCTCCCTTACATTTTTGTATAATGTAAATATGTTTAGTGTGTATTTGATGTCCATATAAGTAGTAACAGGTTACAAATAATTTTTACATTTTTTTACAAATAAAAAGTTTTAAAAAAGCCCAAAGACAATTATTTGATATAGACACAAGTAGTAATAGTAAACATTAAATAATCTGAGGTGACAAGTAGCGTCCAAATATGACATTCAATGTGCATCTGCTAAAAAAACAGGCAGTAGGAGTTATTCAAAAACTCCAGCATTTTAGTAATTCATGCCTTCTCCAAGTCTCTGACCTAAGTGTCAAAGTAGAAAGAAGAACAACAGAGCATTTCCAACCTCCAAAATTTAGGAGCGTGTCCAAAAAACAGCAGACTATATGGAACAGTCACTAGTCCTTAGACATCAGGCCCCAACAGACAAGTAAAAGGATTTGGAAAATAATCCTACCCTTTCAGGGGCCAGAAAGATAGCTCAGGGATAAAGGCATTCGTCTTGTCTATGCTAACCTTGGAGTGACCCCAGAGTAGTTCCCTGTGCACCAATGGGTATGACCCCAAAAACAACAACAAAAATATATACATACAATGCTATTCTTTCCAATAACCAGTGGGAAAAAATAACTCTAGATAAAGTTACCCAGGGTTGCCTTTGGTTTTATTCTTGTTTTTGGTAGTTTTGGTGACATGGACCAAATTCAGAGTATTAGAAATCTGAGGTCTGTGTTCTACCACTGAGTCATATCCATGGTTCCTTCCCTTATTCTCACTTAGTACAATTAATTCTAATCACATTTGCACAGCGGTTGCTTTTTTGTCTCCCTTTTTCGAGGGGCTACATCCAGCAGTGCTCAGAAGCTACTCCCAAATCTATGCTGGGGGGTTGCTCCCAGAAGTGCTTAGGGACCATGGATAGAACCTTCCACAGGTTCCCAGAAGTGCTTAGGGACGTGGGATAGAACCTTCCATAGGCAAAGCCTGACCTCAATCCACTGAGCTCTCTCTCTCTCTCTGGCATTGTCTTGGGGGTTTTGTTTGTTTTTTGGCAAAGCCATCTACATGTAAAACTTAGTTATATAATGTAATTCTAAAATGCAGACACCCAGAGCACCTAAGTCACAAGCTCTTTGTCCTACTCCAGCAGAATAAGAAACAGCATTTGGTTACATAATCCCAACTGGAAAAAAAAATATTTTAAAGAATGTAATTACCTTTCCAAAGTCACGAACATCAAACAGGTCAAAGGCCTCAAAGAGTTCACTCTTTCTCATTCCAAATGTCTCACAACAGGCCGTAAGGAAAGTCCTTATATTCTTCAAACAGAGGAACTGAAGAACAAGAAATAACTATTAGTATTTATTAATGACTCTGAAAACTTCTGTCAGAGAGAATTCTATCGCAATGACAAGCAATAATCAACTGGATTTGAGGTCGCTTCCCATTACACTCCTATTAATTTGGCACCCCTTTCTTCCAGGCTCAGCTGAAACGCCTGCGAACAAGACAGATAAACTTTCTGCTCTTACGAAACTAGGATTTTGTAAGAAAGGAAAATAAGAACAAACCCATTAACAGCAACACAAAAGCAAGCAAATATTTTTATTTTCATATGATGGTTAAGTACAATATAGAAAACTAAATCCAGGGGGACGGAATGGAAGTTCTATGGGAGAAAAGGAATCAGGGAGTGCACTTCCAAGGGCTGGTTGTAAAAATCTTCACTAAAAAGAGCTCTGTTCTGCAGAGACATGAAGGTGGGGAAGGCGCAGCCATGCAGGATGGCACGATGGGGTAATCCAGCCTAAAGTGGCACTTAGAGGAGAGGTCTGTGACATGTGTCTGAGATTCAATGCAGAGGGAACAGAGTAAGAGACAGAAAAAGGCAGTATAAGCCCTAGAAGGGTCCAATACAAGGGCCCCATTACTCTGGCTGTGATGGGATCCTTCAGCTGCTGAGTATTGAGTAAGAGGAACTAGAGAGGTCAGAGCCATTGTACAGCAGGTAGGGCACTTTCCTTGCACACAGCTGACCGGGTTTGATATTACCCCATATGATGCTCTGAGCCCCATTAGAGTGATTCCTGAGTACAGAGCCAGGAGTAAGCTCTGAGCACCACTGGATGTCGCTAATAATAATAATAATAATAATAATAATAATAATAACAACAAACAACAACAATAATAAATTTTTAAATAAAGGGAACTAGAACAAGGGTGGGGACAGAAAAGGCAGAGAGGAAACTGGCAATAATCCAGGCAAGAGATGACTGTGGGATCATAAAGTATTGTTACCTTTTGCCTCTGTTAAATGTCACATGCCTTATAGTCATGCAAAGGGATGCGTGGGAAGCAGCAGATATGGGGCTGCGGATAGAGAACATTGAAGCTCAGGATACTGATGTCTGGAGATTTTCAGAGGATACAGATCATTTAGCCACGATATTATCTGAGCTGACCTAGGGAAAAGCAGAACTGGAGGGCCAGGGATCAGGTAACCCTCGGAAGTCAGGAAAGGAGGAGATGCACCAGAGTATCAGTGAGTTACTGGTGAGGAAGAGCAACCAGAGAGAAGAGTTCTCCCTGACGCCAGTAAAGTGTTTACAGGAAGGAGTTTGATAGTGTTTCTCTACTGGTGACAGCAAGATTTGCAGAGGCTCTCCATCCAATCTGGCAGTGTGAAAGTCACATCATACCCTGACAAAAGAAGGTTTGCATGGAAGCCTGGGGTGAAAGAGGACTTGGAGCCAAGTTCAGCAGACAAAGAGAAGAGGAGGAGGAAAGAAGGGCTCCAAGGAAACCTGCTGCTGCAGGGATACCGGGAGTAGGAAGGGGGAGCAGGGGAAAAGTAAGGGGTAGTCAGAGAAAGAGAGGTCAAGGAAGGGTTATTTGCAAACAATGAAAGCTGTTACCACCAGCTTCTATTCTGATGGGAATAAGATAGTGAAGAATAGGCCTCCACTAGACACTCAGGACAGGTCTTTGCAAGATGTGCTCCTCTGGCATGTGGGGTATTTTGAATTGCAATCAACTGAGCCTCTGCAGGCTCCAAGAAACTTTAACTGCTCCCTAAACTACACAGAGTAATAAAGCTGGGGGTGGGGGGTATCATGCAAATTCAGGAGCTAGACCAAAAGTTATCTTTCCATAACATAAAACAAGCTATATGGGAGGGAAAACATCAAATGACAAAGCATCTACTTTCATCATTTGAGTCCCCCTCCTCTCTCCCTCTTGCCCTGGCCTCCAACCCACTCCTCAGCTCAGAATCATAACCCCTTCACTAACCTTGGGACTTATGGCTATGTGGGTTCCCCATATGTATGTCATTAATTTTTCCTCTACATATCTAATATTTATTTGATTAATCAACTGGTCTGAGAAGAACCCAAGAGACTGGGAGAAATTTCTTCTCTTCCCCTGTAACTCGCCCGCACAGCAAAGCCTGGCAAGCTACCCGTGACGTATTCGATATACCAAACATAGTAACAACAAGTCTCACAATGAAGACGTTACTGGCCCTGCTCAAGCAAAATCGATGAACAACAGGAGGACAGTGCTATAGTGCTACTTAAATGGATCTGGGGTTTCTATGTACTAAAAATGAAATCCTGTTGTTCTGTTGCTTTTTTTTCACATTGTGTCCTGTGTGTGTTTTTCTTCTTTTCCCTCCTGTGAATGTTGCTGCGTGGAGCACCCTCTGCTCTGAGCTCAGCTTTTCCATTTGAGCATCAAATTCCTTCCCCTTTTCCTGGTCTAGGACTTTATTTGGGGGGAACTGTTTCTCCTGCCTGCACAACCAACTTGCCTCTCTCTCTGTTACAGGGGTAAGGTAAGGTAAAGGTAAAGGCCCTCCCATTGTTCATCGATTTGCTCGAGCGGGCCCAGTAACGTCTCCATTGGAGATTTTGTTGTTACTGTGTTTGGCATATCGAATACATCACGGGTGGCTTGCCAGGCTCTGCCATGTGGGCGAGATACTCTCGGTAGCTTGCCGGGTTCTCCGAGAGGGGCAGAGGAATCGAACTCGGGTCGGCCGGTTGGCTGCTTGCAAGGCAAATGCCCTACTGCTGTGCTATCGCTCCAGATCCATTTAAGGTTTTTTTTTTTAAAGTACCCTGAAATCAATTCTTTTTGGAATTATTAGATGCAGTGTCACAAATTTTTAAAAAAATATATTATGAACCTTCAATAAATGTGAAACATATTAGCTGGTTACTGCACTTCATTATTTAAAGCAATGTCTGTTCTTCTTGTTGTTACTTTACTTTTCGTCTTGTTGGGTTACCTTTTTTTTAAGCCGAGGAAAGCACATTTTCCTTCCTCTGGATTCAAAGTGTTTCGATTGTTTTATGACTTAACTCAGATGCAGTTTTACCCTTTACTGGAATACTTCTCAGAAACTTAAATATTTCAGAAGGGGTTAAAACCACAGGGGAAGTATCATCAACCCTGAGCAGCATGCAGGCAGCAACCAATCAGCACATGCAGTTACTGCTTTCACTTTAAAAAATTCATAAGAGACCTTTACGACACAAAATCACTCTGCATGTAGCCCTTCCACATAGAATTGCTTATTTACAGATTAAAAGCCTTGCATTCTGCCAAGAGAGACAATAATTACTCTCTTGGGGATTATGCAACTGCTCTCTTGCAATATTTTTTGTACATAATTAAGTGCCCAGCTCATAGCTCACCAAGGAACAAAGCATAATTGCACGTGCCGCCCTCTGAAGTTCCTCAGCAAGCCCCTTCACCCCACCCCCACCGTTCAGAAAAGACAGCGGCAGACTGACACCAAATGGCTTTATTAATTCAGAAAAAGCAAGAATTACAACTAAAAGCTATATATAATATATATACATATATATATATGCAGTCACCACTGTATTTTTTTATAAAAGGTTTTCAAACAAGTCTTCTCACTTCTAGAATTAACCTAAAGTTTACATGCCCATTAACTAGTTCAATTCCTTTAAATTCTACAAATATATACTGGATTTGTAAAAGGTCACTGGAGCGCTTCTTGCCTTTCCAAGAAATCCAATAACCCCCTCATAAATTTTTCTTTTTTTTTTTCTTCAATCAAGTGTTTCAGCATCTACAATATTCTAGTTTGTGGAAACACAAAATTGAGTGTTTTGTTTTTGTTACAAGATGTCACTCCACTTCTCTACTCATCTCAGATATTTGGGATTATTCAAAATTCTTACACAAACTCTAGGATCACACTTGGGGCCCGCTGGTATCTAGGTCCATGAAGGACAAGAATAGAGTTGCCGTGGATAAAGAGGAACTGGATGCTGGATAAGCCCTGAGCGGTCTGTCCACCCACATGAGGCCTTTGCTTTGTGTTCATGTTGAAACTTTTCTTTTTTCTTTTTTCTTTAGATTTCAAACCAAAATAGAAGTTTAAATAGCTCAAAGAACATTCCATCTATTCAATACCTGCACTGCCACATATAGGCTTTTGTACGTGAACCTTTTCTCTATTTATAAATTCTATTTTGCTAAACTACTTGGAAACACATTTTACTTTACCAAAAGGACATAGGCAGCATCGCATCTCCTTCAGACACAGTAAAACACAACTCCAAGGGTTAAGGATGTTCTCCTGCATACCCACTACCATACCATTACCACACCTAAAAAGTTAGCATGTTAAATCCACGTTATCTAACATTCACTCTATAAAAACTCCTCAGTTGTTCATTTAATTTGTTTACATTATTTTAAAACAAGTCATTGAAACCCCACCCAATCTAGTATCTAATTACTTTTACCTATTACATTTTGATGCCTGATCTTTATAGCAGATTTTTATCTAAAATCCCTGCATTCTGTAAACTTTGCATGACATTAGAAGATACTAAAGTTTAGATCATCCCATTATTACTCATACTAAGCTTGATAATTTGCTTAAGACAGGTGTGGCACATCTCTATTATAAATACACACATCCTTTATGTTACAAAAATATCTTGGAGTGATAATTTGGTACCATCTGCTGTACTTTTTCTAATAATTTTAAACTAATGATTTAGAATCCACTGATAATTCTTCCTTCAATTTTACTGCAGTAAAATTGTGAGTAGTAAGGAATCATCTACTTAGGCATAAAATATATCTGTTTCTCCCACGCTTCTTAGCTGATATTCTGACTCAAAAAAGTTTCACCTGCCCTTCCCTCCACAGAATTTCTACTTATATAATGTTTAATGACCACAATTATTCATTTTGATGTTCATAATGTCTCAGTTTGGCCAATGGTGACCCCTTCCAACTGGCCTATCCTCTATTTGACATGATTCCATTTGTTTTCATTTTCTAA